GTTAAAATAGCTAACACTTGAAAGTAGCCTATATGTCCATCAATAAATAAATGGATAAAGAAAATGTCATATTTATAAACAATGGAGTAATACTCTGCTATATAGAAGGATAAACTTGAGTCATTTGTAGGAAAATAGATGCACCTTAAGACATAATGTTAAGTGAAATAAATCAGACACACAAGCTTAAATATTACATGGCTTCTCTTATTTGAGAAACTTAAAATATAAATAAAGAGTAAAATAAAAGATAGGTAATAGAAAGTAGAGAAATAGTTCTTTTTCGAATGGAAAGGGAATCAAGAGATGGAGGGAAGATGATGAAGGGAGGGAAAATGGATTTAAAAATGAATTGAAATGTGTTATGTACATGTAGCACCTCCCCACAAGGAATGAAGTCATTATGTAATGCAAACATGTACCAATAAAAAACTGAGAAAAATTAACTTAATTTTGAGCAAAAGGAAAAAGCCCAAATGTCTCCTTGACCACTGCCTTGATTGAACAATGATGGTGACTTTTGCAAATGACAGAAATTCCAAAGAAAGATCAGGCTTAGTCTTGGACAAAATAAATTCATGCTCCCTTTATGAAGTGATATGTCCTATAGTGACAAATATACAAATCTGGATAGAAAGCTGAGCTATAGCTATAATATATGGAAATCATAAGCAAATAATGACAGTGAAAGCATGGAGTGCGTGAGAGCACAGAAAAGAGGATTTGATATCTAATTTGGGGGGGATAAGTTGGGGATGTGGTTCAAGACTCAGGAGATATCTTCTGTACCACTGCTGTGATTCAGAGGCATCTGCAATGAGAATTCTACCCTAGAGAAAATTATTTGCCATGTGATACTGATTCAATATGTTCATCAGTTTGAGCTTCAGTTTCCTTACCTATAAAATATATGTAACAATACTTATATAATAAAAGTATGTTAAGACCTAAGTAACAAGTATTCCAAAACCTAAATTAGGTAAGCTGTGTTAAGACCTCACAACTTAGCATATAATAAACTTTCAAAATTATATATTTCACTTGAACCCCAAAGCTTGTTAAAAATTGAATTCATCATCAGCTTGGCCCCCCAAATTACTTTTCTTCATGTATCTTCTATCTTTACCAATCCAAAAGCCTAGATTTATTACTCTTTCTTGCCTTCATTGCAACCTCTCATCTCACCCCCATCATGTATTCCTGAAAATCAGTCCACTTCTTGTCCAGGACTACCATTGCCTCCATGAAGTCCATCCTGACCTCTGGTCTAGATCACTGAAAACCTCCTTCTGACTATCTAGTGCAGTGGCCTGAGTGAGTTCTTCTAAATGGCAAATTTATTATCATTCACTTATATCATTCACTTGCTAAAATCCATTTTGTTTTTGCAGAAAGTCCAAGTTTATAGCATGCAAAATCATACATCATCTCAAGAGATGATATATTTTAACTTAACCTTCCAGTCTCTTTGAAGACTGTATTCTAGCCACACAAATTTCCTTTCTTCCAGGTCCCGTCTCCTCTCTTCGCCCCACCCCTTTCACCCTCCTAGCTTCCACATGCCCTTTAAGACTCAGCTCCTCTACTCTGAGAAGCCTTCCTGAGACTAGAAAAGTAGTACTGTTGTTTGCTCACATAGCACCCCATAGTCATAATCTTTGATCTCCTTCAGTAGATTATGTATTTCCTAAGACAAAGATATGTCTTACTCATTATGTTATTCTTATATTGTAGAATGACCAGTAGTATGTTTTAAGTGATTAATGTCTATCTCTCTTGTTGAATAAGTTAAAAATCCACTAGAAAGGTATATTTTTAGACAGTTGTAGAAATTATATTTTAGTTTCTTATATAGTTATCTTTGAAGATAGAGTTTTTAGGTACATGATCTTAAGCAATTTAAACCTCTCGTGTATAAAATTAGAATAATTATTGTACCTACCTTATACTTTTATTTAAGTGTTGTAAGAACCAATACATATACATTATTTAGGACTAATACTTTGGAATTACTCAAGAGCTCTCAATGATTAATTGTTTTTGTCATTGCCACTGTTGTATTGTTTTATTGCTATTGACATACAATGTTTTATTACTATTGTCCTATTAGATGGTTTCATTTGTTCTTGACACATGTCTTGATCCGGGGCTCAGGTCAAATTTGACGAGAACATGAGTTAAAGAACTGAAGAAATTCAAAAGCAGAGGTCAAAAAGAAGAAAAGTCATGGGTCCTCTGATCTTCCCCTTGTCCCAAAGACGGGTGTCCTGGGGACCAGACTCCACTGGACATTTAGAGGGTAAATGTTCTAAGCAAAGGAGTCTACCCTCTTGTAACTCCTTCCCTATAAAGAAAAAGCATGAGAGCAACTTTGTCAAGAGGAAATAATGCCAAGCAGTCTGGAGATACCTCAAAAAACTGGAATTAGAGGTCCCATTCGACCTAGCTATCCCTCTGTTGATTATCTTTCCAAATGAATATTAACTATTTATAGAAGTTGTCTGGGAAAGTCTACCCCCCATTAGTGGGGCCAGTATAAAATAATAATTCCTCTGGAGAGGGAGAAGAAGATGCCAGTGAAAATTTGGGTTAAATCAAGTTCCTCTTCCTTAAGGAAGAGCAAGCCCTCAGTCTCAACTTGGTTATTCAGGCAAGATCTGGAGAATGTTTTTGGAGAGTGCTGCTTGATGCACCTTTTTCTTTTCTTTTTTTTTTTTTTGGTACTGGGGATCAAATTAGGGTCCTTGCACTTGTGCAGCAGGTGGTGATGCACCTGTTTTAAATTAATATTTCTTCCAGAGGGGACTTCAAATACAGTCATGCTTGTGCTTTGAGTCCATTTGGAGTAGCTTTATACTCCAAGTTTTTTTTTAAAAAGTCTGTTCCACTATCAAAACAAATCAAAAACTTTCTAATAGCTTTTTTTTAGTCAATAGCATATATTAATGTATGGGGCACTGTAGTAAATTATGGAAATGGAGAATACAGAGGCATATTTCTTCTTTCCAGAATGCATAACCTTGGAGGATAGGCAAACGAAGAAATTGCAATACAAAATAGTAGATGCAATAGAAATTTACATAAGATGGAGAAGCATTCAGAAATGATTAAGTTGAATATTATATTTTACAAACTATGTAGTATATTTTAAATTTATCCAGAATATTAAATTTAAGATCCAAATAAAAATATTAAAGTTCAATTAACATATGCTATGACAAAACATAATATAGTAATCAATATATAAATTTTGTTGGGGTACAAAAACAACAGAGGGGCCAGGGATTAACTCAGTGTTGACTATCAAGCTCAACTGGGGTGGAACTTCAATGGTTTTGTCTAATGTAATTCTGTGTTATTTTTTCTTAATTACATTTCTAAGCTACTTACAGAAGTTTTGGTATATTACAAGCATTTTTACACACTCCAATTTTACTAAAATATGGAACAAAATGTCTTAAAAATCAAGCCTAGTTGGTAGCAAAAATAGTCAGAAAATAGACAAGGAAAATATCAATGTCTTTCCAGTTGAAGTATTCTGTTCACAAAGACACTGATGGGATTATGAGAAAATCCCTAATACTGAAAAACAAGTTAAATTTTAGCAGTTAAAATGTTTCTAAGATATATTACTGCTTCTTTTTTAGAAATTGCCTATAACATAAATTCAGGGTATTTTAGTCATGTCAATAAAAAAAAGAAATTAAAATAAGATGTCGGTGTTTGTAAAAAAGTTACAGAAAATATTTAGATGATGCTGAAGAGGAATTCTTATGTGTTTTAACATTTGTATTCCTTATATCTTGGTTGTTGGAGTGGGTGAGGTGAGGTTAAATTGAGCCTGTATGTAAATATTAACTTGATCCTCAGCTTTCCCACCTCAAAAATAGGGAGAATAAGTCCTTTCCTTTCTTTCCCAGAGGATATAACAATTAAGAGTCACATGAATACTTTTTGAATGTTTCAATAAAAATAAAATTACATGAGTTCATGATCAATTATACTGTATTCCCAGGGCATAGAGAAGTCCTACATTAAACAGATATTTGCCTGCCTGATCTCATATGTGATTTCCTAAGTACCAAGAAAAATATTTGTTCTCAAAAAATATTTGTGACTTAATTTTTCTTGCTTTTGCAGGTTCTTCTCCCTACAGTTGTGCTGTCTTGTACAACAGCCAATGTAACTATTTAAATTTAAATTTTAATATTAAAATGAAATTACAAATTCAGTCCCTCAGTCCTTTTAGCTACTTTTCAAGTACTCAGTGGCAACGTAAGACTAGTTATTGTCATGTCATACAGAGAGAACTTCTGAAAGTCACCAAAAGTTCTGTTGCAGACTCAGACTGAATGTCCCTGTTGTTTTGTAGCTTTAACTAGCCATTGGTAGCACTTCAAAGATTAAATGACCTCAGAAGTTGTGGGAAGATGACTTCATAGTCAGGTCAGTGTCAGACCATGAGAAAGCTAGTAGTGAGTGAAAAGGTATTAAATGTAGGATAAACAAGAAGGAATGAAAGTTGGAAAAGAATATACATCGATATTATAATAAAAAGCATAACCTATGATTCATAAAATTATGTTTTAGCAGTATTTTACTTAATTTTCACCTAAAATATTTGTCACATAGTGCTTGCACTAAACACAGCAATCTAATGCTGACTTTCTGATGTTATTGGGTTTTAAGATATTCTAGCTATCAGTTATCACACAAAAACTGTTTGTGATAAAACTTAACTACCTTATGTATATCAGTAGCACATGTTTAAAACATATTTTCCTCTTGTAGGACTCAGCAGGTCCCATGGAGCTACTTGGCAATTTTCCCTCAGAATTTTTGTGTTTATCCTTGCTTGGACCTTATGTATTCATCAGAAGTAGTTTTCTTTGTTTACCAATATTTTGGCTTCTACTGCTTGTGTATACAGAAATTATATTTTAACGTATATATTATTGTCCCTAAAAGTAAAAGAATAATCTGTGTATGTTTGCATTTAGGTCATTCTGTCTATTGAAGAGGGTTACAGACTTCCAGCTCCAATGGGCTGCCCAGCATCTCTACACCAGTTGATGCTCCACTGCTGGCAGAAGGAGAGAAATCACAGACCAAAATTTACTGACATTGTCAGCTTCCTTGACAAACTGATCCGAAATCCCAGTGCCCTTCATACCCTGGTAGAGGATATCCTTGTGTAAGATGCATAATGTTGATTTTTTTTCCCCTTGACAATCATAATTTCTTTCAAGATACAGACAAGAATAACAGGAAGAAGGGGAAGAGTTTGCCTTGATAACTTTCTAGTTGTTGACCTTGTATAAAGTATACTTTGTCAGCTGAATAGACAAATTATTAATGTTAAAGAAAAATGTGGGTATTTTTTCACAAGCAAACAGCTTCCCCTTCTCTTTTCTCTGTATCTAATCCTTCTGAATTACTTTGTTTATATTATTTTCCTGTATGGGTCTTTGATATTTATATATCTTTCTTTACTGATCCTTCCTTACCTTTGTAAGTAGGATTTATGTTTGTCCATGCAGCTGCTCTAATTTTTTTTGTTGTTAATTCTGTGTTCTGTCCCTCTGATCACACCTAGCCACTATTACTTTCCATTCCTAAAGCCAGAAAAGGATGGTTGGCAAGAAATTGAAGGCACTTATACACCATTTTATATGTAAGAGTTGAGAAGATCTACTCACTTCTCTCTAAAAAAGCAATTATAAGACGAGTCCAACTAAAAAATTGTCATCTATGTCTGAAAATATTACATTTAAAATGCCATTAACTTGAAAATATATCTTTACTTTTAGGTCAAATTGAACTTAGAAATAACCAAAACATTTCCATTTCACTTTCCCAACTGAGGGGATTGTCAAGAGGATATACAGGCATTCAACTTTAGGTCACTAGTTCAAGCCAGTGTGGGGTTTTAGTGACAATAAGGCCAAGGCTCTTCAAGGACTATTTGAAACAGACCTCAGTTCACGGAAGAACATATAAGAGTTCACCTCTAAATCACTAATTGGCAGCCTCAGTAAAGTGAAGCCAAGCATGAAATAGCTAGAGATTAAACTATTACTGTAGCCCATCTTCCCTAAACCAGTCCAATATAGGAAGCAGTAAAGGAATAGGGGATGGTGGAGGAAGGCACTTTGGAGTTCACCATTAAAGCAATGGACATCCATTTAGGGATTTAAGCAAGAAAATGACATGATCACATTTGCATTTCTGAAAGATCACTTTAGGATTGATTTAGATAGACTGTGAATGCAAAACAGGAAATAAAACTGAAAGCAGAGACAGTTGCACATTTTCAACAAGCCAGGCTAGGAAAGATCAGGACCTACTTTCTAAAATGGAAATAAACTTGGAATCAGAAGATAAGAGGATGAACTAATTATTAGTCAGAAAAACCAGTGTGTCACTGAATATAAAGAAAGGAAAGAAACAAGGAAGGAAGGAAGTAAAAAATCAAGAATACTTGTCAAATTTCTTTCTTCAATAAGCTGATTGATGGTATAATCAGTAAAATAGAAATAAGAAGAAATTTTTGGAGTAGAAATAAGATCTTTTTGAGCATGCCGAGTCAGCAATGCTGTGTGATCTCTAAGTGGAAATATCTAGTAGGTAGTTATATTTATTTTGAATTTCAGGCTAAAAGATCTGTGCTGTGTATGTAGATTTGAATATCATCACCTAAGATTGTAGTGTATGTTTTAAGTGTGATTCAGATAACCTATGAAAAAGACAAAAAGTGCAAGTAAATAGAGGAAAATAATACACTCCTCTGGAACACCAAGATTTAAGACATGATCAGGAGAAAAAAATTATCAATGAAGGCTAAAAATGAAGAATCACATGAGTAATAAGGGATATGGAGAATGCCATGTCATAAGTCAAAAGAGGAAAGAGTTTCAAAGAGCATGATGTCCAAAGGTTGACAACTTCAATAAAATAAAAAGTAAAATATGTCCAATGAATTTAGCAACGAGATATTCAGATGTTCATGGGTAACTTTTGCAAGAGTATTGTCAATAAAGTTGTGTAGGATGGATTATAATAAAAGAGGAATGAATATGAAATCAGAGAGAATAATGTGTAGCACTTTTTTTTTGTTTCCAGAAACCCATCTGTGACAGGAAAGGAAACTAGTTATGGGAAATGTTTCTTGGTTTTTGTTTTCATGTGTTTTATTGAAGAGGCTTGTGCATGCTTTAATATCGAAGACAAAGTCCTAATAGAAAGCAACCAGGAAGTGAGTCTGTAATCATGGAAGGCGACAATTTAATCCAGGCCTCTTGTAGCCTGTACCTTTCAACAAAGCTGTCTAACTGTGCTATGATCTGTAGAAGCAGGCAGATAAAAGTCTTATTTTTATCTTTTTTTTAATTTTATTTTTTTTGGTACCAGGGATCGAACTTGGGTCATTATGCTTGCGAGGCAGGCGGTGGAACCACTGAGCTAAATCCCCAGCCCCTGAAAGTCTTATTTTTAAATAAAAGCACATTGAACAAGTTCTTGTCTGTATTTCCAAGATTATGAATTATCATCATATTTGGAAAATATTAATGAAGGATCTACAATGGGAAAATGTCAAAAAGCTGGAAGGATCCAGAGGTCAATTCAAGGTGAAGGGCGGTATCTGTGGGCCTGAGCTTAATGATTTAGGGAGGTATGTGGGGATGCAGTAGACCCAGCTAATGTATGGCAAGCTCTGTGGTAACCCCACCATAAGCAGCCCTGGAGCTGGGTGTTTTTTATAAAGTTGGCAGCCTGATTCGATTCTAAACTCTAAACTCTAAGAAACTAAATGGAAGTTTTTGTGACTGATATACTATCCTTGTTTCTGACAAAGACATATATGTTACTGCTTTTATTCTTAATATATTTTTGTTTCTAAGGGTGTCATGCCTGAACCTTATTGGCATTCTTATTTTCTGAACATCCTGAATGGTTCCTATTGCCACTCTTGTACCCTCAATATCACCTGCCCACCCCGTCCCTGATCTCAAAACTGAGACTGTTTAGGGATAAGAGACATAATAGATTAAAGGATAATATTGGCTAAAGAATACCTGGTTTGTTTTATACTTATGAAACTGTGTCAAGCCCCCCCTCCATGTGACAACCCCTCCCATCTGCAAAATTCCCAGAGCCCAGACATCTGTTCCAGAGTGATATTGCATTAAGAAAATATGACATAGTATAGAATTTTAATTTTTTAATCTTTCCTCCTACATGTCTCTCAAACATGTAAATGAATCTAAATGTATAATCCACAGCCACTCATACAGACTCTCCCGCACTCTCCTTTTCTCTAGTATCCCTAAATTCCCAGGTTTCTCTCACACTTCTATGCCAACATAACTCTCTCCTCTATGAGCTCCCCATTTTATTCCACTCTAATTGCTTTTTTCTCAAGAGTTCACCTGAGAAGGTTTTATACTTTATTTTAGCAGAGTAGTAAGAGGGAAAGGAAATTAAAGTGACAAAAGGGGATGAAGAAGGCTTTGAAATCCACAGTTTAATAATATTATACTACTACACTGGAAATTCATAAACCTTATATCTGTAATCTTTCCTTTAAAAAAGAAGAATACTTAATTTTTAAAAATATTGATAAGAGAAAGTGTTCATTTTTTAGAGCAGCAGTTCTCATTCTTTCTTCTATTGACATTCTCATGCCTAACACATTTTCATTGGGATATTCAGAGTTCTCAACATGCTTGCTTTCTCTCCTAATCAAGTATTGATATGTAACTAAACATGATACTATACAAATATAACTTTAAATACAATAAAGTGTAAAAAGTGACTTGCAAAACTACCACTTCAGTTCAGGCAGCCAACCTTCCATAAATGTATTCAAAGTGGCCCATATTCACTCATTTTTACAATAGTCTTATAATCACCTTTCAAATAATTACTTATAGCTGTCATATGGTACAGCATCTGGGAGAAAGGTCCCAACTTGAGCCCAAGGTTTTGTGTGGAACAGCATCTGTAGCAATGTATGACTGTGCACTTTTAAACAACAATTGCTCCCACTTCCCCAACACTCAAGATCAACCTAGTAGCTGCTCCCAACTCCAAGTATACTCTCATATAGTCCTGGGTTTTCAGGGGACCTGTAGTTTAACACCACAAAGTGTCCCAATGAACATACAGCATCCCTTCACCCAACCCTCCCTACCTCTTGGACTTCAGCCACATTGTCCTACACATTAATTCTCCATCTTCTTCAGTCTTCACCCTGGATTCCTCCATGCTTCAAAGCCTACTGAACATACTAGGTTGCAGCCAGCTGGTCAGTGTTCTTTGTGGCAAACCAATGATGTAATGGGAAAAATAACACTTTGGTCAAATCTTGCTCTAGGTCCCCACCATGTCAATGATGAAAATTTTTACAGATTGTGTGTAAGCTTCTTCACCATCAGCTCAAAGGTGGTATCCAGGGATGAGCAGCAGTTTCTCAGATGGAAAGTGCCAATCTGTAATGGTCAATGGCCTGGGAAATCAGGTTCTGCGAGGGCTAAGACACCTTATGAATAGTCTCACTACCCACTGAGCAATAGTTAGCCATATTTTAGGATTTTAGCCCTTAGAAATTGCTACCACTACCATTTGATTAGTATAAGTATATTGTTGAACATTCAAGCTCTTGGATCCCAGTAATATATGATTGATAAAGGTTGAGAAAGGTTCATACCAATACCATAATTATGAATCTCTCCTTTGGAAAACTGTGATAAATGTTCTAAGGCTGAATGGTGCTAGCCCTGCATTCATTAGTAATGCACCAATAATTCAGTTAATAATGATATTTTATTATTGCAATAACTTCTAACAATTTGATATAAAATTTTCCATTCATTTTGTGAAGATCTGGCTCAGTGCTGCCTAGACAATATACAATCAGCACTTACTAAATTGTTTATCTCTATATAACATATAATGGATGACTTACTTGTTTTGACTTTTTCTGCTAGCACTTGAAATTATGTTTTTTGTGATAGAGAAATCAGTGGCTGACCAAAACCAGTGAAGTTAAATGATAAAGTTTAGTAGAAGGAAGACAGAATGTGAAGTACTGATCAAAAGTGTGCAACTTGTACCTGCCTATTAGAAAATATAAATTCAATTTACATGAACTACTAGTACAAGAAAATTATTATACTAAGGTCAACAATTATA